AACATTGACGAGGCGCTGCGTCGCGCAGAGACATTCGCCCTTCACACTTCACAGTCGCTTCCCGTGCGTGGGGCGGTCAGTTTGTTTAGTGCGTCGCTGACCGGCGCGGTATCGGCCTGCGTGCCTGCACTTACTCTCTCCAAACAGTGACACTCCCGAGTGGTGAGGGAACTGGTGAGATCGGCAGCTGAGGCGCCGCATCGTCGTCAACATAGGATGGTTCCCGGTGGTGACTCTTCTCTCTCTCCTCTCTTTTTTCTCTCTCTCCCTCTCTCTTTTTCTCTCCTCTCCTCTCCTCTCCTCTCCTCTCCTCTCTCTCTCTCTCTGTCTCTCTCTCTGTCTCTCTCTCTGTCTCTCTCTCTGTCTCTCTCTCTGTCTCTCTCTCTGTCCCTCTCTCTCTCTCTCTCTCTCTCTCTCTCTCTCTCTCTCTCTCTCTCTCTCTCTCCTCTCCTCTCCTCTCCTCTCCTCTCCTCTCACCTTCCTTCCCCGCCCTGTCCGTGTTGTTTTGTCTTGTGTGCTTTTTCTCTGGGATAACTGCCAGTCCGCGCGATGTCCGCAATGGTACAGCGCTGCGTCTGCGTGTCCGAAGTGCTGCGCCGTGTCCGTGTGTCCGTGTGCATCTCCTACTCTCCGTCCGTCTCGGGCGGGCACCATCCATCACGGCAGGTCAGAGGGCGGCCCATTAGGAGACGGAACGCCCCCGCCGTCAGCGCGGTTAGATGCATATGGCTGCCCCATCGTCAGCGCGGGGAGATCATAGACCGCCATATCGTCAGCGTGGGGAGACAGGGGGAAGACCGTCCCATCGTCTGCGTGGGGAGCTGAATAAACTTCTGTCACTAACCTGGAAAGGCAGACTCCTCGCACCGTTCTATCGCCAGTCCAGATGAGATCCACTATTCTATCGCCAACCCAGGGGAGACACACCACCCTATCGGCATTCCAGGGAAGATGCACCGCCCCTTCTGACTTTTGGTCAGCTCGGGAGCTATAAATCCCCTCATCGTCGGCCCGGGGCAACACGTTGTCGATTGCGATGCTGCTGGCCAGGGTGGAATAGCGGCAAATGTGGGAACTGGTGGTGCCTGCGAACAGTTGAGTCTAGACGATGCCAGCCGGGGTGGGGCATTTGTCTGGGTTGTTGTGAAGTGGATCTCTGCGGTCGTGGAAGGCGGCCAACTGGAACCGGTGTAGGCAGTGGGTCGGCCTGTGGCGCTGCCAACTGGCTAAGATGCAAACGGAGCCCTCCCCTGACGACGCTATCCAGAGGAGTCAGCAGGCGGGTGTCCTACAGCTGTGTCTGAACCCGTACCTACTACAGGTGTGAATAAATTGGAAATGTAACACAGCACATGTGTTGTGCAGTACAGAAACGACGTCAGCGCTTTATGAATTTGTAGAAGCGTTTCGATGAACATGTATTATTGCGGGCTTCTTACCGTATCCATGCAGATTCCCAGGCATCAGTGAGCTTTCAAGAAAGCAATCAATCACAGTCAATCAGGATCGTAAGCTACCACTACCGTAAGGTGGGGCTATTTGAGACAGTGGGGCTATTTGAGACAGTATTTAAAATTGCTATAAAATAAAAACCACTTAAAAATTATGATTAATTTTTTGCTCAGGCGATTTACTGCTCGATTCCACACCTCCCTGAGCAAAAATATCACACAAAAATCAAACGATCTTCATTTTATAGCGATTTTAAATACTGTCTCAAATAGCCCCACTGTCTCAAATAGCCCCACTTTACGGTACTTATGTAACAGCCAGACAGAGGCCATTTGATGTTTCTTCACATTTTTTAGAACCAATAATTGCCGTTTGGCTCACGGTGCATGTGTAGGCTGTTGTTTACCTTCAACGTTTTATATATGCATTGCACTGGCTGCTCTACATGACGGTGACCGTGACTCAGGGATATGATCCGCTCTGGTCCTCATAGACCGAGCCAGACAGCCCAAAGCCAATGAGCCATTCCAATTCACCGGGGAGTAACAGCACCAGGCTCCGCCAGCAGTGTTTGTTCTCCGTTCGACCGCGGCTCATTTGGTCTGTCTGCCGTCGGCGGAGGGATCCCGGTCATCGATCCCACAACTGTGCTGTCACCGCCGCCGCCGGCTGCGAGGTTCGTGCGAGGGGTCGCCCGCGGGCGGCGCTGCCCAGGCGAGCTCCAAAGCTATTCAACTGGAGCCATACAGTAGTGGGACCATTTTCAGTGCAACGCGCTCCCGAAGTACGACCCAGCCCCCGGGACCTCCCCAACTCTCCTGGCGTTTCCTTGGGGCCCAGCCCTACATTGGGCTGCCCAGCTCCACTGGGCGTTTCCAGGGGACACAGCCCCACATTGGGCTGTCCATCCCCGCTGGGCGCGGCCCGGGGACCCAGCCAGCCCCGCTCGGCGCGGCCCGATCTAGTGGTAGGCCATCTCGATCGATAAGGATCACTTGCGCTCGACCGCCGTCGTCACCCGGTAGTGGGGCGGCAGAGACGGGAGGAGAGAGAGGGTGCTCTGTCGCCTAGTGGTGCAGAGACGGAAGGAGACGGATGGGAGGGTGATCTGTCGCCCGGGGTGATCGTAATGATCGGGAGGGAATTGCAGAGGTCTGGCCGAATTCGACATGGGTGGAGTTTATTGAAGGTGGAAGGCATGCGGAGCAAAAAGAAACAATCAAGAGCTGAACAGCCTACAGTTGTTATTTGTAACTGTATTTAATGGCATTATGATGTTCACGCACGTGGCCGCTGCTTCTGGGATTTGGCAGAAGACGGTTCCTCTCGCCACATTTGATGTCTTATCTTAGCTTGTTTTGCGTTGCGGTTTGCGTGTGTTTCTAGCGCAAACCGGCAGCGCTGTGTGGATCTGACGGATATTTTTCATGCTGAGAGTGTTTCACGGTAATTGGCTGCGTTTCACCTGTTCGTATCGCGGGACACTGTTGACTACTGGGAGCTGCACCTTCTCCATAGGTGTGACGGTGGTGCTTCCTGCGACAGCACCAGGAAACACCGGCCAGACAAGCATGGGGTGACGACTGTATCATTCCGTTATATGGCGTGAGCCTATCATTTATGACACCGACACCGGCCTCCGCGATGTCTGGCGGATAAAGTCGACCAGTTTTCGCGACTGCTACCATTTCTTGAGGGTAGTCGTTTCACTAACTTTGGGGGGCTGGCATGTTATCTGTACCTGTTCAATTGCACTCGCAGTTTGCACGCTTCTGTCGCTGAGACTTGGGAGAAGCAGTGACACCGCCTGATTTGCGCTGGCGGTGACACTGGCACCTCGCTGTGTCATACATACAGTCCATGTGACATTTTGCAGTCTCCTATGTCATCGGCAGTCCGCTGGGGGTAGTGACACGGACATGTGAAGGGTGCCTGACTCACGCTGTCGGGCCACTGCCCACCCGTGACCCGGCCACGTGAGTCTGCCGGCCATAAAGGGCGTCGCTGTGAACCAGTATGGGTCGATCAGTGGTTGAACACACCGGTCAGCGGTCAGCGTTTGCTGGTGCCGAAGGGGTGGTACTGGCTTAGCGGCAGCTCCGGTTTGCTGTAGCCTTTTCAGTTCCCTCTATAGGTCACTGACCTCTCCCTCAGTCACCGGTCAGCCCCTCCGTGTCGGGTCTGGTGTCTGACGAACTGTCACACTGACAGGTGGTGCAGCAGACACAGGTGGGAGGTGATTACTGTGGGTCAGATCCTGTCTGCTGCCCCCCCCCCCCCACACACACACACGCACATACGCCTCACCGTTTGCAATAAATGCCACCTATCTGAGTCTGCCTTCCATTTCTTGATGGTTTGAAGAAATAACATTTGATCGGTGTGACACAGGAATTTAGGGGTAAACGGATTTCTTCTCTAATCAAACGGCCCCTTATCATCTAGTTGTAAACGCTGAATTGGAATGCACTATAGCAAGTACAAATCGTATGGCCGCCTGAGGTCACATTTATCGATACGTTGTAGTCTCTAGATTGCTGCCATAACCCAGAGTGGTTGCTCTTATCAGCCCCTCAGCCATATCGATTCATATTGGTGCTCGCCGCTCTGCGAAGCGCTCTTCCCGTATATACTCCAGTGCAATTGCGTTCCATTCATGAACATATTTGCGCGAGAATTTCGGTAAACATGATATTCATCAAATTGAAAAGCTTGATATTGTCTGATATTAAAAAGCAAAACATTAACTTGAGTAGTTTGATTTATTATCATACCAATTGACTTCCCTGACCAACTGTCATTCCTCGTGGGCCTCAGTGGATGCTCACTATACCTGACACCTCTTTACGGTCATCATTCTGTGTGATAATGTCTCGGCAGTGTCTCCACTGCACGGGTACGGGGTTTTGGCGGCTGCCGCAGGGCCAGTTCACACCGCCTGTGAACCTGGCAGCCCGCACCTCATGTGGGTGGATATGGCACACCAATAAGGGCGGTCTATGTCTATGGCGCCAGCCAATGATCTCAGGCTGGTGTTTTAGTTTGGGTCAGGCTTCATAGCAGCTTTGCCAACGGGTTATCCGAGAGCATTTGAGCAGGAGGTGAAGTCACCGTTTCGCAACAACGGTGATCGTCCCAGCCAGGCTGTAAGCCAAGTTATGGGAACTTCAATTGGGAGCTTTTGCAACCTCAGCGTCATGTTAGTACCGAGAAATCTACCAAGAAGCTCGTTGTTATTCTTCGGTGTACCGTATTTATGTGCTGTGAAGGCGACTTTTGCCATTACTCTCCGCCCTTGCAAATCCAGCTTTTCAACTTTATCCTACTTCTACGGCTTCAGTCACCTCTGATTGTCCCCGTCTGTGTTTTTGTCCTTGTTGCTCCCTGTCCCTCTCTGCCCTCTCTGACGTCCATCTCCGTCCCTCGGCAGCCGGATGAACGTGTTAGCGACCCCTCCCTGACGCTCCCCCGTCCCCCCTACCCTGCCACCTCTTCTGCCGCCCCTCTGACCCAAGATTACTCTGACCTCCCTCTCCTTTCTTCTTCAGCCGGATGGACGTGCCGGCGGCTACGAACGGCGGCGGCGGCGGTGACGCCAATGGCGGCCTCACGGAGGAGGAGCTCGAGAGACAGAGGATGAGACCAGCCGAGGTCGACGCGGACATGAGGGAGATGACCAGACGGAAACGTGTCGACGCCATCCTCAGCTCCAAGTCCTTCAAGGTGAGATAGAGCGGAGCGGTGGTAGCGGTGGTGGAAGCGGTGCTAAGTACTGAGGAACTGCGGGAGGGGTGTGGGAAAATTAGAATGTTTGAACGTTGTGTGCGTGGTTTTGGACTGGGTTGGTAAGGATGCTGAGATATTGTGGGTGTGGTTTTGGACTAGGCTGGTAAGGATACTGGGGTATTATTGCAGTGGTGTGGGATAATGGGTGATAATCCCCTAGTATCTCAGGATTTACGGCACAAAGCGGCCAACTGACTGCTGCTGGATCCGCTCACTGGATTCGCTGAACTCTCAGGGGATTCAGGGTCTGGTGGTCATAGGCCGCAGTTTGAGCCGTAGCGAGTGGGCGTGGACTTGGTTCACAGACTGGATGAACGAATGAGAAGGGATGTCTCGCGCCATGCGGCCCTGCCCCATCCCCCCCCCCCCCGGCGCACTATATACCCCCTCCATGCCAGCGGGAGAGAAAGGTCGGCTGGGCGGCAGCCAGCCCTGCCCGGAGCTATTTCCAGGCGGCCGATGACGTCAGGATAGTGACGTCACTGGCCCGATGGCCTCGGTATAGTGCGGGTGTAGCCAGGGGCGGTGTGTGTATGTGCATGGTGAGGGGATGGTGCTGAGTGAGCTGTGACGTCAGACCGGTGTGTGTAGTTAGAGCAGGGTGTTGACTGCTGAGCCAGGTGTGACGTCAGAACGGGACAGTCTGTGCGTGGTAAGGACTAAGGAGAGAGTTCTCAGTGAGATGTATGTAACGTCAGCTTTTGTTGGCTGTTAGTTGGTGGATGGACGCGATGCTGCTCAGATTGCAGACTGGTCAACACGGAGACCGAGCCCTCCTGGCAGTGACAGAGCTCTGCTGGCGCGAAGCGGCTCAGCCGTCAGCCTGCCCACACTGCAAGTCATTTGTTCTCGTTAAATATAGTGGCGGGCGTAGACAGATGACGTAGTCGATCGGATGAGCGTGCTATCTCTGGCAGCGTGGGGGTCAGAGTCTTCACAGTTCAGAGTCTACACAGCTTCTGTATCATTGACTCCGGTGTATTATATTGGTTTGTTTTGTTCTAAGAAAGAGGGTATCCATGTGCATTGCGCACCTGCGTCCATTAATGTGCGTTCTTTCTGGTATTTCAGGCGGAGCTGGATGGTTGATAGCCCACTATGCTGATGTATATTCCCTGTGATGTCATTCGGACTGGAGCTGGCTGCTGGAACCAGTGGCACTGGTCGATGAGGGCGTTGCGTTCAGTCCACTGATGTGTGTTCTCTCTGTGGTATTTCAGTCGGAGCTGGAGCGCCTGGTGGATGAAGGCGTGATCGACGGTAACTCTGTTGGCGGCTGTCTGGAGCACATCTCAGACATGATGGGCCTCGTCCGAGGCGGCGTCTCATCCACACAGAGTAAGTACGACACATACAGGGTGTCTTTACTCAGTGGGCGGCTGTCTGGAGCACATCTCCGACATGATGGGCCTGGTGCGAGGCGGCGTCTCATCCACACAGAGTAAGTACAAAACCCCTATATACAGGGTGTCTTTACTCAGTGGGCGGCTGTCTGGAGCACATCTCCGACATGATGGGCCTGGTGCGAGGCGGCGTCTCATCCACACAGAGTAAGTACGAAACCCCTATATACAGGGTGTCTTTACTCAGTGGGCGGCTGTCTGGAGCACATCTCCAGATATGATGGGCCTGGTCCGAGGCGGCGTCTCATCCACACAGAGTAAGTACGAAACCCCTATATACAGGGTGTCTTTACTCAGTGGGCGGCTGTCTGGAGCACATCTCCGACATGATGGGCCTGGTGCGAGGCGGCGTCTCATCCACACAGAGTAAGTACAAAACCCCTATATACAGGGTGTCTTTACTCAGTGGGCGGCTGTCTGGAGCACATCTCCGGCATGATGGGCCTGGTGCGAGGCAGCGTCTCATCCACACAGAGTAAGTACAAAACCCCTATATACAGGGTGTCTTTACTCAGTGGGCGGCTGTCTGGAGCACATCTCCGACATGATGGGCCTGGTGCGAGGCGGCGTCTCATCCACACAGAGTAAGTACGAAACCCCTATATACAGGGTGTCTTTACTCAGTGGGCGGCTGTCTGGAGCACATCTCCGACATGATGGGCCTGGTCCGAGGTGGCGTCTCATCCACACAGAGTAAGTACGACACATACAGGGTGTCTTTACTCAGTGGGCGGCTGTCTGGAGCACATCTCCGACATGATGGGCCTGGTCCGAGGTGGCGTCTCATCCACACAGAGTAAGTACGAAACCCCTATATACAGGGTGTCTTTACTCAGTGGGCGGCTGTCTGGAGCACATCTCAGACATGATGGGCCTGGTGCGAGGCGGCGTCTCATCCACACAGAGTAAGTACGAAACCCCTATATAGCCGTCTTTACTCAGTGGACGGCTGTCTGGAGCACATCTCCGACATGATGGGCCTGGTGCGAGGCGGCGTCTCATCCACACAGAGTAAGTACAAAACCCCTATATACAGGGTGTCTTTACTCAGTGGGCGGCTGTCTGGAGCACATCTCCGACATGATGGGCCTGGTGCGAGGCGGCGTCTCATCCACACAGAGTAAGTACGAAACCCCTATATACAGGGTGTCTTTACTCAGTGGGCGGCTGTCTGGAGCACATCTCCGACATGATGGGCCTGGTGCGAGGCGGCGTCTCATCCACACAGAGTAAGTACGAAACCCCTATATACAGGGTGTCTTTACTCAGTGGACGGCTGTCTGGAGCACATCTCCGACATGATGGGCCTGGTGCGAGGCGGCGTCTCATCCACACAGAGTAAGTACGACACATACAGGGTGTCTTTACTCAGTGGGCGGCTGTCTGGAGCACATCTCCGACATGATGGGCCTGGTCCGAGGTGGCGTCTCATCCACACAGAGTAAGTACGACACATACAGGGTGTCTTTACTCAGTGGGCGGCTGTCTGGAGCACATCTCCGACATGATGGGCCTGGTGCGAGGCGGCGTCTCATCCACACAGAGTCAGTACGACACATACAGGGTGTCTTTACTCAGTGGGCGGCTGTCTGGAGCACATCTCCGACATGATGGGCCTGGTCCGAGGTGGCGTCTCATCCACACAGAGTAAGTACGACACATACAGGGTGTCTTTACTCAGTGGGTGGCTGTCTGGAGCACATCTCCGACATGATGGGCCTGGTGCGAGGCGGCGTCTCATCCACACAGAGTAAGTACGACACATACAGGGTGTCTTTACTCAGTGGGCGGCTGTCTGGAGCACATCTCCGACATGATGGGCCTGGTCCGAGGTGGCGTCTCATCCACACAGAGTAAGTACGACACATACAGGGTGTCTTTACTCAGTGGGCGGCTGTCTGGAGCACATCTCCGACATGATGGGCCTGGTCCGAGGTGGCGTCTCATCCACACAGAGTAAGTACGAAACCCCTATATACAGGGTGTCTTTACTCAGTGGGCGGCTGTCTGGAGCACATCTCCGACATGATGGGCCTGGTGCGAGGTGGCGTCTCATCCACACAGAGTAAGTACGAAACCCCTATATACAGGGTGTCTTTACTCAGTGGGCGGCTGTCTGGAGCACATCTCCGACATGATGGGCCTGGTGCGAGGTGGCGTCTCATCCACACAGAGTAAGTACGACACATACAGGGTGTCTTTACTCAGTGGGCGGCTGTCTGGAGCACATCTCCGACATGATGGGCCTGGTCCGAGGCGGCGTCTCATCCACACAAAGTGGGTTCAACGACATCTCTATTGAGGACACCCGTCAACACCTAGTTATACCCCTCTTTGGGGTGTGTCCACGCCTTTTTATAGGGCACAATCTCGACACCATGTATTGAAAGATGAGCACCTACATAAAATTGCTTTCACATCGATCGCCAATTGCTAAATCGATGGCCCCTCACTGAAACATCTGCGTCCCCCATCCCCCGTCCCAGTGTGACCTGCCCCCGTCCCCGACAGGTGAGCAGTGTGTCCAGCCGATCGCCGTCCCGTCACCCGTCCCCGTCTCCCGTCTCGGTGTGCCTTGTCCACCGTCCCTCTGCAGGTCAACAGTGCGTCGAGCCAATCGCCACTCCGTCCCTATCCCCCGCTCTGATGTGACGTGTCCCCCCGTCCTCGTCACGTCAGCATTGTGTCCAGCTGATCGCCGCCCCGTCCCGTTGTGACCCCCTCCCGTCCCCGGCAGGCCAGCAGTGCGTGCAGCCGATTGCCGATCTGCGCGGCGCCGACGCCTCCCAGTTCTCCAAGACGGAGAAGATGCTGCGCTGCAAGCTTGCCTCGCTGTTCCGTGTTATCGATATGCACGGCTGGGCACAGGGCGTGCACGGCCACATCACAGTGAGTGGGACGGGAGCGGGGCTAAGGGAGGGTGTGGGGCTAGACGGGACTGGGAAGGGTGTGTGGAATGGGACTGGACGTGGGAATGCAATGGCATCAGGTTGTTCTATTCCATGGGACAATCTCGTCCCATTGCACCGCACCATAGCATTCTCTCTCACTGTAATAATATCGCCCTCCCCCAACCACTGACACCCCCTCCCCCCCCCCCTCGTCTGCAGGTGCGGCTGAACCAGGATCAGGACCACCTGCTGGTGAACCCGCACGGCCTGCTCTACAGCGAGATCACCGCCTCCACGCTCATCAAGGCCGACCTGCAGGGCTCTGTGCTGCACCCGGGCAGCACGGGACTCGGTCTGAGCGCGCCGGCCTACGCCCGGCTGGCGGCCGTGCACGCGGCGCGGCCCGAGCTGCGCTGTGTGCTGCACGTCCAGCAGCCGGCCGTGGTGGCCGTGTCGGCGCTGAGGGCCGGTCTGCTGCCACTCACCGAGGACGCCGCCGCACTGGGAGCCGTCGCCGTACACCGGCCGCAGGGCGCCGACCCCGAGCTGCGCGCGCTCACCGCCGACCTGGGCGCGGAGAGTAAGGTGATGATGGTGCAGAACGCTGGCGCCATCTGCGCGGGAGAGACCGTCGAGGAGGCCTTCTTCCTGCTCGGAAAACTGGTGGCCGCCTGTGAGAACCAGGTGAGTTGGGTGGTAGGGAGGGCTGAGGTCAGTCCGGGTGGCGGGTGAAGTTAGTAGGGGTGGCTAAGGCGCGAAGTTAGCCGGAGCGGCCAGGACGTGATAAAATATATGTGTGAGTGCTGCGTCTAGTGCCTGGGCGAGCCATGCTGTCAGTTTCATTAGGTGGTGATCGTCAACAGAGACTGTGAAGTGTGAGGGTGTTACCCTACCAGCCGCACCCCGTCCTCTGACCGCTGTTGTGTATCACCCTCCCGCCGTCAGGTGCGTATGCTGCCGCTCGGCCTGGACAACCTGACCCAGCTAGACGAGGAGGAGCAGCGGCGCGCCTATGAGGCAGCGCGCCGTCCGCCGGCGCCGGCTACCGAGCCGGCCAGCCCCGAGTCGCCGCGCGCCGCGCCCTGGCGGCTCGGCGAGCTCGAGTTCGAGGCTCTGATGCGCCAGATGGACAGCGCCGGCTACCGGACCGGCCACGTGTACCGACACGCGCTGCGCGGAGAGTTGCCACCGAACCAGAGTGGCGTGGAGTACCCGCCGGCCGCCGTCGGGTACGCGCTGGACACAGACGACATCTTCAAATACAGGTGGGTGGTGAGGGGAGAGAAAGGATGGGTTGGATGGGATTGAGGGGAGGTGGGGTGGGAACTGTAGACAGATGGGTTGAGACTAGTGTGGAGGGGGTTGTCGCGCCAGAGAAAATATGTAAACGGTAACTATGGGCGATGTGGTCAATGCGTACTTCGGAGTTCGGAGCTAGTTTTCTGCGATGGCGAAGTGGCGCAAGCTGCATCGCGTGGCGTGTAAAGGCATTTATGTTTGTTTCTGCTATTCAACGTTGTTCGCGGTCTGTGCCGACCATCCGGCGCTCGTACGCTGTCTGGTGATGTTCGGCGTCCATCCCCATTGATGGTCGGTCATTCTCCGTCTGCTCCCACTGACGCTTTACCGTTCTCCCTTTCAGCCCGATGCGGAAGATCGTTGCCGGTGCGCGGGCCGGCGAGCGGACCCGGTGGCTCAACTCGCCCAACGTCTACCAAAAGGTCGAGCTGGTGGAGTCGGGCTCCAGCGACTCCAAGACCGTCACCAAGGTATCGGTGGTGAAGGGCGACCAGTGAGCGGGCGCTGCACCGCACCGCGAGACGCACGAGACGCACGGGCCGGGGGTCCAGGCCAGGCGCCGCACTATTCCGAGAGCGGCCGCCCCGTGCCGCTGTGTGACTGAGAGTTCCGATTCGCGTCGGACGGACGTCGCGGCGCACAGCTATGGGGTGCGTGAGTGCGCGACCCGGCCGCGACGGACGCTAGCTAGCTGTGCAGAGGAGCGGGGTCCCAGAGAGGCTGGCCGACGTGCCGCGCACAGACGGCCCAGTAGTCATAGCAGAGGCGGAGACCGGAGATTCCAGAGCGGCGGGGCGTGTGTGGCGCCGCTGCCCGGCCGCTGCGCGGTCCGCACAGTCGCCACTCGCCAGTCCAGGGTTCACACGGCTCACGGGCCACCGTCCGTCGGCTGTCTGCCGACCGATGGCAGTCTGCCGAGCCTGCCGACCGCCTGCCTGCCGCCGTGCATGAGTGTGGGGGTCCGGTGCCTGTGCAGCCGTCTCGTGGCTGTCTCCAGCCAGCCCGTAGTGGCGGTCCGGCCGGTCCCCTCCCCCCACCGCCCGGGCAGCCTATTCGTCACGCGTGTGAGGCCTGCGCGAGTTATTACTCGGAGAGTTGGGAGTTGTGCCGCCGAATGCTGCTCCTTGTGGCATCTACTCAAAGAGGCATCTGTGTGACTGGAGAATCTCCCTTCGAGAGATAGAGCGAGAGAGAGGAATATACTGTGTGCGTCCGATAATCTTATGGATCCACGCTTCTCCGCCAGCTATTTTACGCATTTTATTGTGGGCGCGGCGTTCGGCCGGGGGTGTGACCCGTTTTGTTGAGATTGCCCGTGCTCTGTCGGCTTTGAATACATGATTTGGGGACCTTCTGTGTGTGGTGTGTCTCTGTTCTGTCTCCCGGTGGTGGCTAACCCGCACCGTCCCGAGCTCGGGTGTGCTGAACGGCGTCCGGACCGCCCGCGCACGACTGAGGCGGCTCGTCTCCCGCCGGCTGCTACTGCTGCTGCTGCTGCTGCTGACAAAGTAAGGACGGGGAAGGGCGCCTAGCGCACCTGACACGTAGTAACGCAGGCACAGACACATTGGGGCACATGCCATCGTCACCGCCAAACTGAGCGTCACGTTATACTAAATGTACAGCACAGTTCACTGTTGAACACTATTCCATAGCAACATTAGTTCTCGTAGTCCCATTTCTAAGTGTTGCTTATTACCTTTTGCTCCGCGCTTTGTTTTTACTTACAAGTTGCGGTTTTACTCATTTTAACTAGGAGTCGAGTCGTACGTTCACGCTAATCAATCCAGACAGGTCTAGCGTATTTTATTTGTCAGCTCTGCAGCGGGATATCAAGCAAATGACATGAGCTGTTCATATAGAAAAACTCACTAATGCGTCTGTTGGTCGTATCTATCGAGTGAATGGCGTAAGTGCGCTCAGGTAGCTCCATTTCCGTTTTCAGTGGGTGGTGGCCCCCTCGCCGGCCTCCGGTAGCACACCAGTCAAGGTGGACTCTGCTCTCCAGTTTGTGCCGAAAAACACCAGTCCCAAGGAGTTCAGACAACTGCAGAAACAGGTATGGAGGCTGCACTGCGTCTGTCTGAGACGGGCAAGGTTAGAGGTCTGTATTACATAAATAGGAATTATCAAGCATCCCATGAAAGGAAATGTGCTATGTGTGATCATGCGAGCGCCAGTTATGAAGTATTGCGGGTGAAAAAGCATCCATCGCGAACGGATTTCAAAGTAGAATGGCGCATATCTCCTTACAACTTCATGAGTGGTATGCATTTTTGTCTAAGTAAGGAGTGGGTATGCCAAGCGACGCCAATAAGAAAATGAAACGCATCTATTCCATGATATAGCCGTCGTTCGGCACCCTTATGATGTCCACTCGTACTCAACGCTCAGTCTCGCCTGTAGGTCTATCGTAGCCCCTCTGTCTCGCCACTATGTCCGTCGCAGTCCCGGTCCGGCTGCCCTGACCCCTGTACCGTGTCCGTCCACTGACCTCCCCGAGTGTGGCAGATCAAGGAGAACCGCCGGGCGGGCGAGGTCAGCGCCGGACCGCAGTCCCACCTCCTGGAGGGCGCGACCGGGTCAGAGGTCAGCCAGCGGCAGGACGACGCCCGGTCACACGCCGGCGACCAGGTCAGGGTCAGCCGCAGGGGCGGTCTCAGGATGTCAGATGTGGGTGACCAGGTCAGGGTCACCCGCAGGGGCGGTCTCGGTGCCAGATGCGGGGGCAGAGTACTGGCAATTGGATGAGAGACAGTCCCAGAATTGTTATCAAGATATCAAATATGAAAGCATTAGATGTTGCATTATTAAGTGGAGTCTTGTCGGCGTGTTAGGCCACAACTACATCACAGCTAACATTGATGAGAGAAATGAAAATTGTGCGATCCAATGCCCAGTGGCTCGCTTGACTTTATGGGTGGACGGTATGTTTTGCTGACTATCATAAAACCTCATCTCAAACCTTGATTGGTTCCTCCGTCTCCGACAGCCCTCCCTCCCTTCCTCCGTCCCTCCCTCCCTCTGCCCCTCTGTTTCTGACCTCCCTCCCCCTCCTCCCTCCCCCGGCGACCTCAGGTGGTGCTGGTCGGAGCCGCCTCCAGAGGGATCATCCAGCGTAGCCACCAGCACCACGCCGCCGTGTACCAGGCGCCGTACGCCGCCAATCCCTTCGACGGGGTCACAGACGAAGAACTGGAGGAGTACCGCCAGACGGTGGAGCGGAAGAGTCGGGAACAGAGCGGTGAGAGAAAGAGAAAGAGAGAGAGAGAGAGAGAGAGAGAGAGAGAGAGAGAGAGAGAGAGAGAGAGAGAGAGAGAGAGAGAGAGAGAGAGAGAGAGATATGGGGATAAAGCAGTGACAGAGATGACAGAGGAAGGGAAAGCAGGAGAGACACAGACACGTGGGAATATTGGGTTGAATGGTTTCAGGAATAGGTACTAGAAAAGAAAGGGAAGATTATCCATCCATCAGTGTTCGGTGTGGAAAACACGTTTCGCTGAGGTGTTTGAATATGTCATTGGTGGATGGATGCTTATCAGGTCTCACTTAAAGGTGAAGTTGTTTTATCTTAAGCTCAAATTCCTACGGAAATGTCGTGTCTCATAAAAAACTAGGCACTGCAAAGCATGCGGATATTAATTGGTATTTGTTGTCATCTACACTGATTGCTGATATAATGAATCTTGTATTTTCAGCCGAAGCTGAGACAGCCTCGCAGTCTGCATCTGATCTGAATCGCCGACCGACCGATCACTGCCACCCGGCACAGCTCCTTGAGCCGCAGCCCGGGCCCGCTGAGCCGCCACAGCCGCAACAGTTTGAGCCGCCGCCTCAGCAGCAGTTTGAGCCGCCGCACCCGCAGCAGTTTGAGCCGCAGCCTCAGCAGCAGTTTGAGCCGCAGCCTCAGCAGCAGTTTGAGCCGCGTCCGGTGCGCCAGCGGGGCCCGGAACACGCCGAGCGAGTGCTGCTCACCAGTGACGGAGAGGAGGCGGAGCTGAGCAGCGGCTCGGCGCCACCAGGTGACGGAGCGGAGACGGCCCGCCGAGACCCGCCCGGTGACTATACTGACCGCTACACGCCCGGCTATACCGACCACTGCCCGACCTTCGCCGCTGCCGACGCCGCCTCTGACGATGTGTTCGGTCCCGCCTCTGCCGGCTTCGAGTTTGACCCTGCTATCAGTAACGCCTCTGCCGCCCTGATGTTTGAGCCTGACGACGGCATGAGCCCGGCTGTTTACTCTCGCCACGCTGCCGCAGCCGCTCTCTCTGCTACTAATTCATCTGCTTCTCCCATCCCCGGCGCACCCTCTACGGGTGTCCCTGCTGTCCTCTCTCCTTCCCTAGCGTACGACTCTGTCTCACGTGGCCTTTCTCCTCTAACTCAACAACCGCTAACTCCACCCGTCCCACCCGTCATGCAGCCCGGCCAGCCTCCTCTAACTTCGCCGTCCCTTACTCCCCTAGCTCCACCCGCCGCGCAGCCCGGCCTGCCTCCGCTAACTCCGCCCGCTGCGCAGCCCGGCCTGCCACCGCTAACTCCGCCCGCCCAGCAGTCCGGCCCGGCCCAGGACACCGAGCCGCAGCAGTTCTCGCAATCGTCACCTCTTCACCCGATGCATGGTACGTGAACTAGTGACTGTCCGGAAATGGTAATACCTGCCATTGTTGGTCCGTTATTTCACATTGGCCACTTGTAACTACCCCTCTTTGTGTCTGAGGACGGAAAACCAGACTAGTAATGGGCTATTTACATCTATGTGTCGTGATTCTGTATCTGTCAGGATATCTGTCAGGTATTATGCTTTCCGCCGTTTTTGTTTGTTTTGTTGGGTTCGGCTCTCTCGTTCCAAAGAGACCATTGCAGAGCCGGAAGGATGATAGGAATCAGGGGAGACATTGGTCTGGGCAGACACCCTAGAGAGTCGCCGAGGCTTAGCCCGTCCGAATGGACAGGCCGACCAGCCCCCCAAGCACTCTCTGCACCCGGTTACGGGTTGCGCTCCCTCGGGAGCAGCGGTGCCGCTCCAAGGGAGCAGCCCGCATGAGATAAAGTTGTCTGTCCAGCCCGGAGCGAGGGTTGGGGCGTGCAGTGGAGGAGAAGGATTTGAACATCCTGAGGATGGAAACGACGGATGGGTTTTCCGCCGTTTTATGACTTGTGTATGTGTATTGTATAACTAAACTCGACTGACAACAGGCCTGTGAGTGGTGATCTGTTGTGTCCTCCGCCGACCTCTGACCTGTGACCTGTGACCTGTGACCACTAACCTGTGACCTTCTACCCCCTCAGTGCCGCCCCCGAGGAGCTCCCGCGGCCACCGCGGCTCGGACCGGCGCGGCCCACGCACCATGCCGGCCCCTCTGTCGGCCACTGGCAAACGAGGAGTTCGCGTGTCCGCCCTCTGATGGCGCCCCAGTCGCGGCAGACCGGTAATATCAGCTGGCAGACCTCCAGCCGTGCCATGAGACAGTCGAGCAGTGCACTAAGTGGTGTTAGAGTGAGTGTGCGAGGGTCGAGGATGCAGGTTTTAGGTGTTGGTTGAATATCGAGTGGTGAAATTGAAATCTACACAGCTGAGAGTCATTTTCGCAGTCCGTATTTCGAAAAGTTGCATTGCAAAATGTGAGGCTTGGCCGATATCAATATAGACCACAAGGACGTGCCAAGGAGTGCAATGTTATTTGCTAGTTATTCATCAGTTCATAGTTGACTTCCTTGGTTTCACGGAAATTTCCATTACTTTGCTTGTCTGGTGTGAGCGGTCGTTATAAGTCAAGCGTGCTAACTTTTTTATTTTGTCCTAATGGATAAATGGGTGGCTAATTAGCTATGGGCCCAGGTGCCCCCTAAGCAGTGCTTGTTGCGAATGACACCACGAACCCACCACCCCACCTTATGGCCTGCTGTTAAGATTAAATTATCGGCGAAAATGAATAATTGTAGCTAGAATTTCAATCCCTTTATCTGCGGCTATGGTGCTCATTATTGACGAAAAACCCTACGTTTCCCTGCCACGCTGATCGGTTAAACCGTAATTCACTCACGGGCATTGCCAACAGTTCCATAGGCGTATATTCATTAGCCAACAACAAATAAATATTCGAAATGTAACAGGCTGACCTTTTCCGTAATCGATCGATACGTTTCAGCATTTCGTACCAAACAGTGCCAAACTTGACGTATTGAAACGACCAGTGCCATTTTAATTGCATTCTTAGTGCCATTGGTGCAATAACGCAACGTTTAGCCTTAGTTCATGCCATATAGTTATGTAACTATAACGCTATACGTTTGCGCAGTACTGTTAATCAGGTAGCACTGTTTTGCTTTCCGTCCTGACTTCCCTCCTTGCGCTTTTCAAGTTTGCGGAATTCTCAATAATAATTCATGCTCCTGAAAATTGGGCACCGTAGCCGGCATTTAAAATTGTGTTACTTTTGAGACCACTTCCTTCTCTCCTACCTCCGGATTTTTCTTTCCAAACTTATTTTGTTGCTAGTGTAGTGTGCTTGGTAGAGTGTGTTAGCCGAGGGTGTGGTTGCATGCTGAGTTATAGTCGAAGTGTGGCCACATGAGTCCCTAATCCTATGTGGGCACCGGCACAGCTGTGCGGTTTATGTCCGTAAACCTCTGCTGTGAGCGAGATGCCTGCTAACAGAGAGCCCCACTGGCACTACCAGTGTCTAGTACGGCTGACTAGATCTGATTATGCGGTGCTGGTTAGGTTAGAGTCCCCTCTTGCCGCCATTAGAGGAGTGTAAATATACGCGTCACCGTCCAACCGCTGACTTTCCAGAGGAAGGTATGGTAGCGACTAGCGGTAGCGCCAGACGGCACTGCCCCGAGTGGAGAACTCCATGTGACAGAGATCTGGTGGAATGAACGCTCGACGCCGGACGTTATGTCTGCTGCTGCCTTCTCTCGCGAGTCGGTATCATGTGGTAGCAAAGACAGAATCACCCACACTGCTGAAGAAATTATTCAAAATCACACGTTGTCTTCACGTAGAAGCCGTCAAAATAGGTATAATCGCTTGCATTCACAAAATATTGTTGAGAATCGTTCAAAACGCTTTCTAGTTCCAGCGGATGATAAGAAAACCGAACACTCATTTCTGAAACAGAGCATGGTGTTGAATCTTGCCTCCCAGGGCAACTGATGCAGTACTAACGAATCTTTACCAGGCTGGCAAAATAATCGTGATTTCGAGAAGGATTTCGTTCGGGGTTGTACCTATTCAGGCTCTGTTTTCATACGGGGCCATTACTGATGATCAAACGTGTCCCACTGTCTCGTTATTGGAGGTGTAAATATTCTACCAACTTTCTGATATACCTACCAGTACTATACATATTGTGGCGGTCACACTTCGGCCTCCCCTCACTGTGCGCGCGCGACCGCCCCTGCGCGTGACCGGACGATCGTCCGACCGCCAGCTGACCTTGCCCCGGGGCACTGGAGGTCACGACCCCGTCCCGCTCCGCGCGGGCCAGCGCCGCACGGACGCGGCAGTTATCGACGAGTGCTCGGTGAGTGAACGCAACACGTGGTGGCAGCGGAAAACTGCAACGGAGCCATGGCTATGGCGAAGAATTACCGTTTACCGGAATTTGACGGCAGTGGTAATGTAAAAACGTGGATCAGCAAGATAGAAGTGATTGCCCGTGCTTGCAACTGGGACAGTTCAAAACCGGAACAGAAGACCTCCAGCGATTTCAGTGACGAAACTACGGCGGTGATGGCGCTCCCGGCGATCACCGGTCGGGCATTCGACTTCGCGATGCGCCTCTCCGACGGCGACAGGAACAGCTGGAAGAAACTGTGCGAGAAGTTGAATGCCGAGTTTGACTCTCCCGGACTCGCTGTTCAGTACGCGCTGGAGTTTCATCAGCGTATTCGCAGGCCCGGCGAATCACTGGCGACGTTCCTGTACGATCTGGAAACGTTGTGTGCTCGCGCCTACCCCGAGTGGGAGGACGCCACATACCGCCAGCGGCTGGTGAAGGATCGGTTTCTGATGGGCATCGGAGAAAAGTCGAGGAAACACATACTTTCGTTCTACCAACCAACGTGGTCGACAGAGACGGTTCTCCTGGAGGCGAGAAAGCTGGAGCAGATCGAGACGTCAACGGGAGGCGGCGCATCTGTGGGGGCCGTCCATGGTGCCCCGAGAGGAGAACAGTCGGACGCGTGGAGTACCGGCTCTCAACCTCAGCCCAGCGAGACTTCGGTGCTGTCGGCGCTGTCCGACAAGATCCAGATGCTGGAGGAGCAGATGCAGGCATGTCGCGTATTCCGTCCCAGCCGCGACTACAACCGCTCGTCCCGTTCGTCCAACAGGCGCCGAACACCGAGCCGTCGGAGGGAGGAGGGCTGCTTCAACTGCGGTGAACTCTCCCACTGGCGCTCTGACTGTCCGTACCAACGCCCAGCAGACCGGCGGTCGGGAAACGGGAACGGACCGAGGAGGATGTGAGCCGCCGCTCCTCGGTCCCCGCTGTAGTAGCCTCTTCTAGGGTGGCTCGGACGACTCCGCTGATCCAGGGCACCATCGACGGCGTCCGCGTCACGTGGCTTGCTGACACTGGCAGTGACGTCACGTTCGTCACCAGCAGCTGCCCGGCGGTAGGGTGCAAAGCGTTCCGACCCCTCGTGCACCCTGCATCGGCACCGGTGACTATTGATGGCACGCCGTTGAAGGTGAGGGGGACTGTTGATGCAACCGTCGAGTGTGGTCACCTGCCGCCGCGGCGTCACACGGTACTGATTGTTGACAGTGTGAACACCGAATGCGTCCTCGGCAATGACTTCTTGTCCCTGTATGGCGAGGTGGCGCTCGACTTCGTGCACATGACTATGCGACTGACGGAGAACTCTACGGCCGACAGGCGTGTGACCGGCGGACGCAGCCTCGGCGAGAGGGCGGTGGTACCCGGCGGCCCAGCTGCAGTTGCGGCTATGGAGAGCCGTGACGCTGGCGGCCCAGCCGCGGCCGGTGCACCGGCTATCGACGGACACCCAGTCGAGCTCACCGCGGACGTCACCATCCCCGCGGCGTCTGAGGTTCTGCTGGCGGGCAGAGTGCGGGCCGACACTGCATGTGCACCCGGGCAGCACATCACCTTGGTCGAGGACAGCAAGTTCACACGACGCTACGGGAACAGCCTCTGCGTCTCGAGCTCTGTGGACGTCATCAGGACAGACAGCGCTGTTCAGTTGCGGCTGTGTAACCCGGGTCGAAGTGCAGTGAAGTTGTACAAGTCGTGCACTGTCGCCCCATGTGTCGGCTACGCGGATCCGCCGACAGTGCGTGCCTCGCCGCTGAGCGATCTCAGCCGGGAGGAAAGGGAGGCAAGAGAGCGACAGCTGGAAGACATGGTCCGCAGCAAGGTCGCCGAGTCGGATGTGACGGACGAGCAGCGCCGTGCCCTGGCGGCGGTCCTGCTGCGACGCAACGGCGCGTTCTCCGTACGGGGAGAGGTCGGTATGTGCGACCTTGTGAAGCACCGCATACGTCTGAAGGACCAGCATCAGCTGCCCATCCGGATACCCCCGCGCAGAACCGACTGGGAGACCCGACGGAAGACCGAAGAGTTCTGTGAGGATCTAATGCGGAAAGGACTCATCCGTAGAAGCCACAGCCCGTGGAGCGCGCCCGTCGTCATGTGCAAGAGGAAGGACGGTAGCAGTCGGCTCACCATCGACTACCGAGGCCTCAACAAAGTGACCGAGTTCGACGCACACCCGCTGGTCCGGATCGACGACGCCCTGGACTGTCTGCAGAACAACAGCTTCTTCACCACACTGGACCTGGCCAGCGGATACTGGCAGTTCAAGATGGACGAGCGTGACATCGAGAAGACAGCGTTCTCGACCCACAGCGGCCATTACGAGTGGCTGAGGATGCCCATGGGGCAGAAGAACTCAGGCGCAACGCTGCAGATGGCGCTCCAGATGCTTCTGGCGGACTCGAACTGGCTATACACCCTGTCGTACGTGGACGATGTCATCCTATGGTCGAAGGACTTCGACACGCACCTGAAACGACTGGACGACATCCTGGGGAGATTCGCGGACGCCAATCTGCTCTTGAAGCTGGGGAAGTGTAGTTTCGCCAAGAAGGAGGTACGCTACCTGGGGTACCTCGTGACCCAGGACGGCATCCGCCCTGATCCAGACAAGCTCAAGGCCGTAAGCGACTACCCGACGCCAGCATCGCACGAGGAGCTTCAGAGGTTCATCGGTCTGACATCCTACTATCGGCGCTTCTGTCCCAAGTACGCCGACATGGCCAAGCCGCTGCTGAGACTGTTGGAGAGGAAGGCAGACCGTACTTTCAAGAACGGCTTCAGATGGACTACAGAGTGTGACAGTGCGTTCCAACAACTGAGAGGCGTTCTGGTGACTGCGCCAGTCCTGGCGTATCCCAAGATGGACAGCGACTTCGAGCTGACGACTGATGCCTCCGATGTTGGGATCTCCGCGATCCTGTCTCAGAATGGCCGGCCCGTCGCGTTTGCCAGCCGAGTGTTGGCAAAGGCCGAACGTAACTACTCGACCACGGAGAAGGAGTGTCTTGGACTGGTCTGGGCCGTGGAACACTTCAGGGTCTACATCTACGGGAGGCGTTGCGTGCTCAGAACGGATCACAACCCACTGCTGGCTCTCGCCACCTCCAACAAGCTGAAGGGACGTCTCGCCAGGTGGGCTCTGAAGCTGTCTGAGTTCGAGCTCGACATCCAACACGTCGCCGGGAAGTCCATTCCCCATGCCGACGCGCTGTCCCGTGCGCCGGTCAGCGCCGTGCGTCTGACAAACACGGCTCTGGTGACACCGGAGGAGCAGGAGCGGGACGAGGCTCTGCGCTGTGTCAAGGACGGCATCGCGATCGGCAGGCTCGCCCAGACCGCTCCGGAAGGAGCACGACGGCTTTGGAGGAGAAGAGACGCGTTGAAGATCGAAGCCGGACTACTGATCAACAGATACAGGTGCCGCGGCCGAGAGCGCGAGCAAGTTGTCGTGCCGGCACACCTGGTGCCGGCTGTGCTGAGGCTGGCGCATGACGACCCCATGTCTGGCCATCAAGGAGGCAGGCGCACTCTGGAAAGGGTAAGAGACCGGTTCTTCTGGGTCACGATGACTGTGGATGTCTCCGACTGGTGCCGTTCCTGTCAGGTGTGTCTCCAGGTGAAGCAGCCAGACCAGCGCGACAAGGCCCCACATCAGCCGTTGCCTGTTCCGCTGCGGCCGTGGGACTTCGTGTCAGTTGACATCTGCGGACCATTCTCGCCCAGTCGGAGGGGTAACAAGTACATACTCGTTGTCACAGATCAGGCAACGAAGTGGACGGAAGCGTTCCCGATGGAGCGTCAGGACGCCGAGAGCGTGTGCAAGGTCCTCATGGATGAGATCATCTGTCGCTTCGGCGCCATGCGTCAGATCCACTCAGACCAAGGGAAGCAGTTTGAGTCTGAGCTCTTCCGCATGCTGTGTGCAAGGTTCGGCATCCAGAAAAGTCGGACAACTCCCCATCATCCACAAGGAAACCCGCAAGCGGAACGGTTCATGAGAACACTCGGCAACATGCTCCGGTCCTACGTGTCGACAAATCACGCTGACTGGGATGCACGGCTCCCGGAGGTCATGGCGGCTTACCGGACAAGCGTACATGAAACAACGGGACAGACTCCACATATGCTGCTGCTCGGCTATGAGGCCACGACTCCAACAGATCTCGCGGCAGGTCGCGCCCGAGATGACAGCCAGATAGCATCACGCCTC